TCGTCAAGAGGTTACAGAAATAACGAACGAAATTAAAAGTATCAAAGAAACTACTGAAAAATTAAACTCAAAATACGAAACACTACAACAGGAAATTGAAAATATTAAATTAGAAAATCAATTACTTCAAAATAAATTAAATCAATCTGAACCAAGTATTACTCCTGTGGATGAACCGAAAACCAACCGAAAATCGCTTTCGCCTATTCAAGAAGACCTTATGCTGGAACTCAGAGACCGATGCCAGCGGGAGAAAAATATTGTACTTGTGGGTATAAATGAAATTTGCGACAAAAATTACCTGGCAAGACGTAAACATGACGATTACGAAGCGTTTAAAATTATTTCCTCGTTATTTGAACAATGCCCTAAACCTATAAAAACAATGCGCCTGGGTAAATACAACCCGGCAAAAAGTCGACCGCTTAAAATATTTTTTGACACGACTTCCACACCTAAACAATTACTGCGAAATAAAGCAAAGTTGACTAGTAACATACGATTATATGCTGACCAAACTCCATCTCAGATACACTTTTTAAAACTTCTTTCTGAAGAGTTAAAAAGGCGAAAAGAAAACGGTGAAAATGGCCTTATAATTAAATACATTCAAGGAGTACCTAAAATAGTCAAGTCAAAAAACGATTAAAACGCACTATTCGAGATTCGGTTATAAAATATCCTATTACTACGGACAACAATTACATCACGCACCACTTACTCCAAAAGTACCAAGATCTACCTGTTACAAGCACAAATTCTTTAAAAATTTTCTATGCTAATTTACGAAGTATTAAAAAACCAGGAAAGTTCGAGGAAATTCAATGTATACTTCAAGCAGTACCTATGTCACTTCATATACTTATTTTTACCGAGACCTGGCTTACATCAGAGCAGGATGCTTGTCAATATCATTTGACTAATTACACGCATATTTACAATTTTAGAAAAGTAAACAAGGGGGGTGGAGTATCTATATACATTCACAATAGTATTAAATATGACTTGACAGAAGAGCTAACAGAGAGTGGAAATCATTATTTATGGATATATATAAACAAATTTGCACTTAATATAGGTGGGATATATAAACCCGGTGAGTCAAACGTAAATAAATTTTTGGACATATACTCCAACCAACTAGAGACCCGTAAAAGAGCAATAGTTTTAGGTGATTTTAATTTGGACCTCTTAAATACTAATAACAATATCATTAACTACTTGAGAACGATAGAAGAATCTGGTTACGAAATATTAAACAAAGTGGAGAAGGAATACTGTACACGTGAGACAGCTACAACCCATACTATATTAGACCACGTATGTACAAATTTAAACAATAATATGTTTTCACTCTCTATCCTTGAATCGTCCTTATCTGACCACAAACAAATATTTGTGGAAGTATGTAAATATAAGCCAGAAACGCTGCAACGGGTCCATTATACTGCCCTGGACTATAATGGCCTGATAAAAAGATGCACAGAAACCCAGCATATAAATAAGAACTGTGACTACAACTATCTTGAAAACTACATAATGGAACAAATTGAACAAAATAAAATGACAAAAACTAAAATACTAAACTTACCACAGAAGGACTGGATTAACAAAAGCATAATCGAAGGTATAGAAAGACGCAATATTTATTGGAATAGCTTAAAAAAAGATAGTGAAAATGAAGACATATTAAATAGATACAATTCAGAAAAGAAAAGCGTGAGTAAAATGATTAGAGAATCTAGAGAAGTATATTACTGTAATGAATTCACTAAATGTAAAAATAAACCTAAAAAGATGTGGGACCTGATCAATACGTTAGCTGTAAACAAAATTAAGAATGGTTGTGCAGTGCCTAAGCTCTCCACCATCTCCGGTATTATATCTGATGGATGCAAGGTTTGTGAAACTTTTAATAACTATTTTTTGACTATTGGTACAGAATTAGCAAATAATATACATCCAAAATACCATACAAGCTCAGTTCATACCTTAATGTATAAAAATACTTACCAACATAATATAACTTTAAGTGAATTAGAACCTTGTAGTGTCAAAGAAGTGTTAAAAATTATTAATAATATTAATAACCATACAAGTACGGGTATTGATGGAATAAGTCCAAAGGCCCTTAAATGCATTAAAAATGTCATTGCCACTGACCTCACAAATTGCATTAATAAATGCCTATCAAATGGTTTATTTCCTGACAGCCTAAAAATTGCGAAAGTCAGCCCAATCCATAAATCCGGACCAAAAACTGATCCTAGTAATTACAGACCCATATCGGTGCTCCCTGTTATTTCTAAAGTCTTTGAAAAAGTAATATATAAAAGACTTAATGAGTATTTTAACGCCAAAAACTTTTTCATTGAACAACAATATGGTTTTAGATCAAAATCTAACACACTGTCAGCAGCAATTGATGTAGTTACAAAAATAAAGACAAACATTGATCGAAAACATGTCTGCTTAGGAATATTCATAGACTTAAAAAAGGCTTTTGATACGGTAAGCCACTCAAAACTATTACAAAAGCTAAATAATATAGGAATAACAGGTACAGCACTAGATATGTTGGCCTCTTATCTCGCTAACCGCCAACAGATTGTACAAATATCTAACTACAAAAGTGGTCCTCAACAAATTACCTGTGGCATTCCACAAGGCTCAATATTAGGCCCTTTGCTATTTCTTACATACATAAACAACATAGTAAATTTAAACCTGTCAGGTCACTTATCACTCTAAGCAGATGACACTTGTCTTTTTTACTTTGCACATTCAATTCATGAAATTATATCACAAGCACAAAAGGACTTAGATATATTAAATGAGTGGTTTTCATACAATCTTCTCACAATTAATGTGACCAAAACATCATTTATGGTTTTCTGTGCTAAAAATAAAAAAATACCTACCTACACACCACTTAAGATTAATAATATTACTCTTAAAAGATCTAAAAAAGAAAAGTACCTAGGTCTATTATTAGATGACAAACTGATATGGGACTCTCATATAGACAAAATAGCATCAAAATTAGCATCACTTACGGGAGCATTGCGAAAGGTATCAAACTGTATTCCATACAAAATCAAATCTACTGTTTATAACGCCCTAGCCAAGCCACACCTGGAGTACCTTATAGAGATATGGGGTTCTGCTGCACAAACGCACATAAGTAAGTTACAACGAGCACAAAGTAAACTAATAAAAACACTATTTCATTACAACTACCTAACCCCGACTAAGGAGCTATACAGAAAAACTAAATTCTTAAACATTAAACAATTATATACATATAACACATGCCTTATTATAAAAAAAATAATATCTAAAAACATACATTCAACAATTACATTCACACCAAAGTGTGAATTTCTTACACATAATCTTAGAAACAAAAACAAACTTCAAATCTGGCAGCCTCGGACGAGATCTTATGGCAATAAAAATATTATGTGTGAGGGTGTACTTTTGTATAATAATCTACCGGATACTATAAAAGATTGTAATAATATTAAGCATTTTAAGAATAAACTAAAATCATATATTGTAGATAAAATTTCATAACTGCATATCTTCAATTTTGATCATATCTGTAATTGCATTAATACAATATTCATATTTTTTAAAACATTACGATATAATACATACATATGTTTGCATTAAGTAAGAAAAAGAATAACAAATTAATTAAGGATATACATACAAGAATAAAACATAATAGAATTATATAATGCATGCTACCGTGTAAATACTGGTAATATTATTTTGTATGTATACTTAATCTCTGTAAAAGTGAACAATGTGTTCTTTAAGAGAAATAAATGTCTTTAACCCGAAAATCTGCCTGCCTGCCTCGTTGGTCTAGTGGTTGTAGTAGTGCGACTGGTGATCATGAGGTCCCGGGTTCGAATCCCGGGTCGGGCCAAAGAAATCAGTTATTGAGTTTTTCCATCAAGAAATTCTCAGTAGCTGCCCGGAGTCAGGAATCCGGCGGTGTTTCACCCCCGTGCCTCGGAAAGCACGTAAAGCCGTTGGTCCTGCGCCTGATCTCTCTCCGGTCGTGTCGGTTTACCGTCCCATCGGACTATGAGAGTGAGGGAATAGAGAGTGCACCTGTGCTTGCGCATACACTTGGGCACTATAATCCTGTCCTGCGCAGATGGCTAGTCTCCGCTGAGACTGGCCGCCGTGACCGAAATTCGGTCTGGAGGACATTATTCATTATTATGATAAAAAACGGCAAATGCTCGGTAAGACTGTTTATGGCGCATGCGCAACGAAATAGCTGTTCTAGTACGTAACACTTGACGGATGGTAAAAATTGACTAATCTTCGTCGGCGGCTTGAAGTATGTTTTAATAGAAGCTCGCTTCAAAATGTAGCCAACCTTGTCTGTGACTCCTCTGACATAGGGTAGTACAGCAAGCACACGCTCGACTGTGGTCGGCTTCACTCGGTCACTGTGACGTAGGCGCGGGAATCCTTTGTGGGTGCTCTAGTTTGTCCTCTCAGTGGTGACAGAATTTTTGCCAAGTGTACTACGTCCCATAGTGAGCCAAATCGATTCACCAAGTTATAAGTTGGCTCAACACTATGGTAAGGTAATTGGTGTGATTGGTGAGGTAGAGAAACTGATCTTGTGCAAGTGATTGCCATGACATTTGTGATTGTGGTACGGGTAAGTGGTGTGACAGAGGTGACTGATCTTTTGCAAGTGATTGGCATGACATGTGTGATTGTCGTACGGGTGATTGGTGTGACAGAGTTGATTGCTTTTGTGCAGGGGAATGATATGGCGGGTATGATAGCGTGCTTCTACGGCCCTCAGAAAGTGAATCGTGAGCTTAGTAATCAGAAAGTGGTGTAGAGCTTGTGTACGTACGAGTGATATAATGACTACGCTTTATTTTTTTAATTTGTATTGAGTTAAAATCGACTGTATTTCTTGTTGTGCAAGAATTGCATCTTCTTTGTTCAGGGATTTAAATTTAATTTTTTCCAAAAATGTCAATCTCGTCATTTTCTTGTTCTTCGCTATTCAAGGTCTCAGCAAGTGCTTGCATATTTTCTACAACAGAACTCAATTTATTTAAGCGTGATCTTTTACCAAAGGCAGTGTTTCTTTTCTGACTATCTTCTTGCTTCCTATTATTATATTTTTGTTGGTCCACTCTCACGCTTCCTGTATCTGTTTCATTATTTGTGTCAGTCACAGAATGTTCATCACTTTCAGTGTTCTCAAAATCCGGTTGAGAGATCTAAAACAATAAATGATTGTGGTAAAATAAATATTAAGATCACCCACTAAGATACCTACTCAAATTATTTTTTCAGGTTCCCAGTTCAAGCGAAGAATGGAAATTTATAGAAGAAGGATTCCGTAAGCGATAGAACTTTCCGAAGTGCTATGGAGCGATTGATGGCAAATATTTTAATATAATCGCCCCTCAAAACTGCGGAAGTCGGCTTTTTTAATTATAAAAAACAAAAAAGTATTGTACTTCTTGCTTTGGTAGACCACGACTATTGCATTTTGTATATAGATGTAGGAGCAAATAGAATGACTTCTGACGGGGGAGTATTAAACACTTGTTCTCTATCAACTGCGCTAGAAAATAAAACATTGATCCCTGATGGGGGCGTGGTAGTAGGAGTGGATGCATTCCCACTGAAGCCGTAGATACTTAATGTAACCGTATTCAAAAAGTAACCTCACATTAGAAGAGAAAATTATGCTGACTTTGAAGATGTAAACACTTGTCAGGTTATACCTGGTCAATGGCGTGAAGCTAATGAGGTATTAAATGACATTGCGCGAGTTGGAGGAAACCGCTACTCCAACGACGCGAAAGTTGTCAGAGATGCATACAAAAGTTATTTTTATAAAGAGGGAAGATCTGTTCCGTGGCAAAACAAGATGATACGATAAACAAGAATTCTATGTTGTAAGCAAAGTAAACATAATATAAAATATATTATACTTACCGATGAGCTTTGTGTATTTCTTTTAACATTTACGTATTTGATGAATGCATCCATTTCATTAAACCATGACAAGGATGACTTATAAATTGTTGAAGTACCAGCGCCAGATCGTAGACTTTTTTCTTGTTTGTTTACTTCAACCATATAAGTAGATCTCAAATATTTAATTTTCTTTTTGACATCATCAACAGTCAGATCGGGGAGCTCTATACCGGCAATCATATTTCTTAAAGCAGTGTTCCTAGAGTCTCTGTCACGATAGGTTAAACTATCGATTCGCCACAAACATTCTTGTTCGTGGTGCAGATATATGAATTTCGATGTCATTTCTGGAGTCCATTTGGTTAAAACCATGGTCATTTAAATCGTGTGTAATCTATAATAATTAATACAATACAACGTAGACCAAATTCTGAAAACTAACACGTGTTGACGGGACCGGCATCAATGGCTCACTGGCATATTGGCTTACTGTCTAGGAACGCGCGATCACACGGAGGCATTGGGCAAGCTAAACCACCGCGCGTTGTAGTGGGGGTATTGGCTTCAAAAAGTTTGAAATCGTTCTATTTCAATGGATTGGCTTGGTTGATGGCTCAGGACAATCCAATGCAGCGGATTGTCTCCAATTAGACAATGCCAATATTGTATTGGCTTAGTGGATTGTTTTTACTATTGGCCTCGTGTAAATGGACCATTTACACGAGGCCAAAAAAATTAGTGCAGTGTCACCTCAAGTAAGAAGTACATAATAACTCAATGCATAATACTGCATCTTTAATATTTACTTTCAACAATCTTTCTAATTTTTAGTAGACACTGTATAATGAAAATTATACACGGTATTGTGATTGTAACTTTTTCCTCGCGAATTAAATTATCACTATAATTTACATTATAGCCATTAATAAGACTGTGTGCTCGTTTGTCACCCTATGCTATAAAAAAATCAGTTGCAGTACCCTAAAGTAGTTGTGATATAATTTGTTTATCTTCAAAACATAATTGTTTTGAGTGTATTTTAATCAAAAATAACTTACATTAACGGATGACGGCGGTTCCTAAATAAAAAATATAATTTAATATCTTAAGATTTTTATAGTTCGCGATAGGGTTAGTTAACTTTACCGAAATTAAGACATAGTTTACAATATTAGGCGTCTTTCTAATTTTGAGTAGACACTGTATTACAAAAATTATACACGGCATCGTGATTGTTACTTTTTCCTCATGAATTATATGATCACTATAATTTATATTAGAGCCATTAATGAGATGTATCTACAAACACTTGTAGTTACAAGAAATTGATTTTTCATTATAAACATTAGTTTTAGAATACAAATAGCAAGCCCTCTGTGCTGTTAATATTGTGAGGAAATATGCATGTTTAATAAAAAAGAAACACATATAGATAAATATTTAATTAAATATTAATGAAACAAGTACGTATCCAAAGCACAAAAAAAAGAAATAGTAAATTTCACCACGTGATGTGAAGATCACAAAGTAAATTACATATTATTATTTCGTTGTGTTTTTAATTTCGTAAAAAGTAGGACGTATATAGACTGTGAGTTTAGAGAACCGGAGACCCGGACCCGGAGAATGGAAAAGAGGCATTCGATCTTAGTTCCCGCGGGTGACGACGCATCTGCATTTTGATTCTTTATTGAGGATAAATGTAGATGTCTATGGGTCACAGCAACCACTTACCATCAGGTGGAATGAGTGCTCGTTTGTCACCCTATCCTATAAAAAACACAGCCCATCTGAATGGAAGTGGTATATGGAAACATCTACATGTATCCACAATCAAGAATCAAGCACGTATCCAATCAAATCACAAAAGAATCAATGAAACAAGCACGTATCCAATCAAATCACAAAAATATAGTAAATTTCACCAAGTGATTTGAAGTTAGAATCGCAAAGTATAAATAAAAAATACATTTTAATATCTTAAGATTTTTATAGTTAGCGATAGGGTTAGTTAACTTTACCGAAATTAAGACATAGTTTACAATATTAGGCGTCATGCCAACTCTGTAATTATATCTTAACAGATACGAATCAGTTATTCCTTAATTTTGTAATGCAATACACGTATTTTGACCCCATTTACAGTGGTGGTTAAGATAGTTTTATAAATTTTAATAGATGAGTTATTTTTTTTTGATCTGGATAAATATTTTATTAAATGTTAGTGAAACAAGTAGGTATCCAAATCACAAAAAGAAAGAAATAGTAAATTTCACTACGTGAAACGAAGTTAGAATCGCAAAGTAAATTACATCGTACAAAAATATTGTTCACTTTTTTATCAAATGTTATTACATCTACAACTTTCCTTTCATCTACACTTTCGACTTTCGACATCCCAAAACGCACTAAAATTAGAAACAATAATGAATGAAGTGAAATTATATGTAAATAATAAAATGAGTTAATCATCTAATTAGCTGCTAATATAACATACTTACATCATCCTAAAACGGCAAAAAAAAAAGGTTTGATCACTTATCGTTCAGATGGGGTTTCAATGTAGGATATAAAAATAAGTTTTCTTTTTTTATAGAAAAAAAATGACAATCAAGCAACATAGTCATAGCCCATAGAAATCTCTACTCTTAGATTAAGAATCAAAATGCTGATGCGTTGTCATCCACACTTTACTAGGCGCAGGTTCGGCCTCACATGGAATACTGTTCCCATCTTTGGGCTGGGGCTCCCCAGTGCCAGCTCCTTCCACTTGAACGCATCCAGCGCAGAACGGCTTGAATCGTCGACGACCGAGTCCTTTCCGATCGGCTCGATTCATTGGCGCTGCAAAGATTTGGCGCTGCATGTTGCATCCCTTTGCATTTTCTTTCGCATTTCGAGGAAAACATTTAATGGACGCCGAGAAAGCAGTGGCTGCGTTTCGAAATGCCGTCGAAGAGACCCCTAAGGACGAGTGGGCAAAGTGCTTTTCTCAGTGGTCCCATCGGATGCAGCGATGTATTGATGTAAATTGACACTATTTTGAAAAGATATAATAAAACTAATAGCTTGCTAGTTTGTTCAGTTTATGATTTTCTAAGAACTTTCAGTGTCAACCTCGTACATAATATTTGCATTTCTTTCAGGACTTTTTTTGATACAATAGATGATTTCAGAATCTGAAGAAAGGGAAATTAATAAAATTAGTGAGTAAGACTAAGATGGCATGCCTCCTTTCCAGTAAAACGAGTATCCGGGTCTCTACACTCACCATACGAAACACAGCAGCGTTAAGCTCCATTTTACGCTGATATTCTGTGTGATTATAGTTAAACAATTGAAATGTTCATGTAAGATTCATGGGACAGGTAATTTCACGCACGTAGAATGTCTAAGCAAACTGTCCGTAATAATAAAATATAAAACACAACAATACAATTTTACTGTTAAACCACCGCCTAGGTTTGGTCTGTTATGAATTGCTAACGATCATATATTTTCTTTTTATAGAATAACGTAACGAAATATAAGAAAACGAGCACGTGTGTGCTCGTTTGGCACCGTTTAGACGTGGTAGAACCATGCTACAGCTATATTAGTAATATAATTGTAGCACGAATCGGTCGGCTCGACCGGGGAAGGGCCACGCTCTCATAGAATACCAGCGTAAAATGGCAGCTTGACACTGCTGTGTTTCATACGATGAGTGTAGAAAACCGGAGACCCGTACCAGGAGAATGGAAAAGAGGCATTAGTTCTTAGTTCTTACGGGTGACGACGCATCTGCATTTTGATTCTTTATTGAGGATAAATGTAGATGTCTATCGGTCACAGCAACCACTTACCATCAGGTGGACTGTGTGCTCGTTTGTCACCCTATCCTATAAAAAAAACACTACCCATCTGAATGGAAGTGGTGTGTGGATATAAGGAAACAAGACAAGGAGATTCGAACCATGCTTCAAATAAGATAGTCTTGTAAATTTTAAATAGATGAGTTATTTTTTTTTTGATCTGGATAAATATTTAATTAAATATTAATGAAACAAGTACGTATCCAAAGCACAAAAAAAAAGAAATAGTAAATTTCACCATGTGATGTGAAGATCACAAAGTAAATTACATATTATTATTTCGTTGTGTTTTTAATTTCGTAAAAAGTAAAACGTATATTATAGACTGTGAGTGTAGAGAACCGGAGACCCGGACCCGGAGAATGGAAAAGAGGCATTCGATCTTAGTTCCCGCGGGTGACGACGCATCTGCATTTTGATTCTTTATTGAGGATAAATGTAGATGTCTATGGGTCACAGCAACCACCTGTCATCAGGTGGACTGTGTGCTCGTTTGTCACGCTATCCTATAAAAAAAAACACTGTCCACATGAATGGAAGTGGTGTGTGGATACATCTACATGTATTCACAATCAAGATTCAAAATACAGATGCGTTGTCACCCCTGAGGACTAAGATGGAATACCCCGTTTCCAGTAAAAAGGGTTACCGGTTCTCTTAAAAAAAACTGTCTACAAAAAAATTGCTGTGTTTTAAAAATATATCTTTAGTTCTTCCATAAAGGACTCTAAGTGTATTATTGTTTAAGGTCCAGTCAAATGCAAAATAATGTATAACTTACCGGCTGAAAATAATTGCTTCGTTTTAATATGTACTACATATTAAATTATTCATAATTTTATTAACTTATGCTAAAATTATTAAGACGGTGATATGCAACATGCTTTATCTCGAAGATTATATTTAAGATCTTTATTAAATACTAGCGATCGCTCTGGCTATCTGGATTTCAACAAAATCGCCACGGATTTACGGATTTTATCAACGTCGGGAATTAAAAAGTTTAAATAAACGCGATAAAATCCGTAAAAATTAGTTTCATTTAATCCTTTTTCACATCAGGTGGCTGGGATATTTATTATTATTAGTTATGGAATAAATATATGGTTACACTTTTACGTTCCATCTTGTATACTTTACTGATTTACTTACGGTTACGGTTACAGCCTATTAAAGTTCACTGCTAAACACAGCCCTTCCCCATAGATTGTCTCATAGGGAGGATGTTTGCCATAGTTGCCACGTTAGCAAGCGGGTTAGCAACCGCAGTTTTTGACTTTTTAATCGTTATTACAAAGACGCTGCTGCCCATCTCCTGATTTGTTTTCCCCTGTCGCCTCTTACTACTGACCTACTGTTTTACTTAAGTTAACAATAATCGTAAAATAAAGTAAATAAGTGATGTCGAAATCAATCAATCTCCTTTTCGGAAATGAGCGTGATACATTGTTACCTACTTTACTAAAGTTGCAGCCTATTTACGTTCCACAGCTGGGCACAGGCCTCCTCTCATTTCTG